TATAGCCACCTGTCGTTAACACATAACGGAAGTGTCTACGTGTCAGTTAACAAAATTGGTATAATTAGTGCACGAGTCCTTGTAAAGTTACATATTAGCGGAGCTAGAACCCTGCTTTGTTTTTTTCCATTTTGATCACTACTTGTGTATGATTTGTTTCCTTATATTTTCATTTAATGCAATTTGATCCTGATCATGTTTTTAATTTTTCTAATGAATTAATTTGAGTATTAACTTTAAAATCTTTTATTCTAGTCATGTATTAAATTTATAGATTAAATCCCTTTGATTTTAGAATTAATCAATTTGATCACCAATATTAACATTTTTTTTGAAGAACACCAATATTAACTTTAATTCTTAATTTGATCCTAATTTCAATTTAATTTAATAAATTTATTTCTCCACTCAAATTGTGACACATGTCACAATGGTTTTTAATTTAAATTTAATTAATTTAATAAATTTTCAATCCAATCAAAAGGTGACACATGTTACCTTTTGAATTGAAGTGAAAATAAATAAAGATGAGTTTTAACACCCAAAGGAATCCAAACTTGGGTCCCAAGGGTAACCTGCGCATGCCTTAACTACTGCGCTAACTCTCACACTTGTTTTTGAGATAATACATATGTTATATAACTTGTTCAGTTTTAGGCAGAAAAAAAATTAAAATAACTTAATTGGATTTGAACCCAAAATTAATTAGTAATCAAGTAAGCCTTAACCAATAAGCTAAATCTAATATTTAGAAATCAATTATAATATTATATATTTATATTATATATTATAGTTAATGATAAAAAAATAAAAATGGATAAGTGAGAACTTACATCTAGGCCAATTGAGAATATGACAACACTTAAATCACTAAAATAAATCTAATACTTTATTTATAACTGATTTAAGATTTTAGTATTTTTAAACGAAATTTATTGTTTTCACATTTAATTTTTAATGATTATATATATGAAATCGTTAAAAATAATTTAATATTCAAATTATAATATATATATATATATATATATATATATTATAGTTAATATTCAAATTATAATCATAAGATTGTGACATGTGTCACAATTTTGATTGGAGAAATCAATTTATTAAATTAAATTGAAATTAGGACCTAATTAAAAATTAAGAATTAAAGTTTATCTTTGGTGATCAAATTGATTAATTTTAAAATCTAAGTCATTTAATCTACAAATTTAATACATGACTAGAATAATTTTTTTTAAAAGTTAATGCTCAATTAAGGCATTAGACAAATTAAAAACAGAATCAGGATCAAATTGCATTAAATGAAAATCCAAGGAAACAAATCATACACAAGTAATGACTAAAATGGAAGAAAACAAAATAGGATTCCAGCTCCGCGAATACGTAACTTGACCCGTGCCCTAATTATATCATTTTTGTTAAATGCCACGTAACACTTCCGTTAAGTTTAACGATATGTGATTATATTAAAACTATTTAAATAGTTTAATTGTCATATTGATGTAGATTTAAAAATGATAGACTTTTCGCGACTTAACTTATAATTATATGATCATTTATGTAGTTTACTCTTAGAAAAACAACATGAAATATTTGACGCGAGAATATCACTATTCTTATAGTCTTGTACACTCGATAAAATTATTATTATTTTATTTAAATTATTAAATGAATAAGCGAAAAATATCATGATTAATTAACGGAATGATCCAACTATGAAATCATAATTTACCAAAATAACTCCAGCAATAAAACACCTGGACAAAACCTCTAGCCCCAAACAAGAAGTGGCCCTAAGGGAGCCACACATGGCAAACCCTTCGTTGTTCACAAGTTGAGAGCTACATGATATTTTTATGAAGTTGTTGAGGTTGACATTTGTCGAAGTGTTGGTGATCCAATTTTACAAGAAATTAAAAATATGAATAAAATTAACAGGTTATACAAAATCCTAGAATTTTCAAGAAGCGATGCCGTGGGAATCTCGTGGTGAGAGAAAACAAAAAAGGAATTGCTTTGTAAAAGTATATTTCCTACGAGAAATTGCTGAGTGTTCGGTGCATGAAATCAAATGGCCAACAAAAGAAAAAAAATATGATCTTAGCCTAAATTCTTATTCCGCGTATGAAAAAAATAAAGTTTGCTTAGTCAAATGGAATAACTATTTCTTGAAGGAACTTCGATTGGACAAGCACTTGAATAATACATATTTAGCTTAATATAACATTCTCCTTTTGATTAATCATTTTAATCTCATTTGTCTTATATATTAGTATCATTTTCATAATATTAGTCAAACGGAATAAGTTTTTTTTTTCATTCAAGCCTACAATGACGGAGTCATGTAGGCCTCGGGGACCAATGCCTCCCCCACCCCATATTTTTTTACTATTAAAAAATAAGGATAATTACAAATTTAAATTTTTAAATTTTGATTTATTTTAATTTTACCTCTCATTTTCTATTGTTAATTATACTTTACCCCTTGAACTAAAATACTAACTATGATTTTATTCTTTTGACTACGTGACTTTCTAAGTTTTTTTTAAAAAAAACGTTAGATCAACAAATTCAACAGAATAATTTTATCAGTATTAACAATTGAATTTGAATTCTAAAATTTTAAAAGTTGAGAGACTAGATACCTAAAATGAGAATAGAATAACTAAATCAAATATATGATCTTCAATTGTAGCATATTTAGCCTAATAATTTTTTTTTGAGAGACCTAATAAATAGCATAAAGAAAATTCTTTTGAGAACCTAATTTGAATGATACTGTATGCCTTCGCAGAAAGGTGTCTATCCTATGTCAACATATAGATTGGCCGGTTCGAATAAACTAAAAGTGTGAACAGTTACATATCTTTTTAGATAATAATATAACTTTATAGATAAACCTAGTTAGAATTATCGAAAGGATAACATTTTAGATAAATACATTGAAAACATTTTAGAATAAATAATTTGTTCACGTTATATATTTAATTGGTTTGATTTTGTATAATTAAAATGATTCTTAATTGATATTATAATATATTAAGGATTATTATTTGATATATTGATTTTTTACACAACCTTGTTTATTTAAATCTTAAAGCACATTATAAACTCTAAATTTTAAATTTAAATCTTAAGTTCTAAACTCAAAATCATAAATCTTAATTATGACATATTTCATTTAAAATAAATAGATTTATATAAACCAAAATTTATTCCACCTATTTCTTATATAAATAATAATACATTAAAAGGAATTTGTTTTAACTAATTATTTTTTTTGAAAAGTAAGAATTATTATTATAAAGAAATAACATACTGAACATTGTTAAAGATCTCGTTAAAAAATCTCTCAAACCCTATAATCCTACGGAAAAGAAAAAGAGTGCCCATTAACCATGTCAATACAGCTCAGTGCGTAAATAGCAAACCAAACACAAATTCCATCAACTACCAACACCACAAAAACGCACATAGTAGCCTATGGATATCTCCGGTACGATAGTTTATTATACGATTAAAGAAATACATTATCTGAAATGTTATTAGTTTTTTAACATTTTCATTAAAACGCTATTTAAAACATTATTTTTTTACCGGAAATGTTAATATTGGGCGCTATCTAAAATGTTATTTTTCTACCGATTTTTCTATTGGAAATTAGATACCGAAATTAATATTTTCGGTAAAAAATAATATTTTAGGTAACGTTCTATCGAAAATATTATAAAATAATAACATTTCTGATAATATTTTTATTAAATCGTATAATATACTGTCGTACGATAGAACTACCCAGTAGCCACTGTTCTCACCAAACCAAGTTCGCCTAGAATGTAAAAAGCAATAGTAACCGATAGGGATGTTCATTCGGTTAATTCGGTGGCCGAACTGACCTAACTACCATTTTCGAATTAACCGAACTTTTTTTTTCTTTAACCGTTAACTGAACCGAACTTTTTTTCGAAAATATTAACCGAACCGAATAAATTTCGGTTAATTCAGTTAATTTTCGAATTAACCGAAATTTTTTAGAATTTCAGAATTTAATATTTTTTTAATTAAAAATAATAATTTACAATTAATTTAAATAATATCTAATTATAAATAATATCTAATTAATTTGATTCAAACATTTTGCATTTAGTTTTGATATTATTTTAATTAATTAATATTGATTTAAGTTTTAAATGGATTTTAAATGGATTGGGCCTCTTAATATAATTATATTTAAAGGTTAATTCGGTTAATTAATCGATTTCGAACTGAATTAATCGTTAACCGAATTCTAAAATAATTCTTAACTGTTCTCCGACAGAATTAATTCGATGACCGACCGAATTAATCGAACTAATTCGATTTAATCGATTAATTCGATTAAAACCGAATTTTGAACCCCTAGTAACCGAAAGCAAAACCAAAGTGGTAAAACCAAAAGCAGTTTAGCAAACCAATCCATGTATCCATTCTTATCCTTTGGGAATCAGCCCGTTTTAACAACACCTTGAAAGTACAAAAAGAAGCAACACCAATAAATAAAAAAATAACCGTGCCTAATATTTTGTATCTACGTCACGAATGGACCTATTCAATAATGCCTTTCGGCAAACCAAAGGCCACAAAAAGAAAAAAAAAACAATAAAAAAGGGGGAGGTGGAGGATATATCATATTCTCAATTTCATTCTTTACTTCAATATGTATTAGTGTTTTATTATTACGTTCTTTTTTGGTGACAATGTTTTATTATAACTTTTGTTCCGTGGCCAAACAAATTATTGTTAGGACCGATCATTTGACCCCAATATATATAATTTAGTACGTATGAATAACCATATTAAAATGTTAATAAATTCTAATATTTTAAAAATACGAAATTAATAGAGTCGTGGACTAAAAGAAAGTTTTGACCCATCAAACATGGTAACAGGTAAATTGCCCAGGACCAAAAACGTTATTTACATAAATTGACCGGTCACGCCCTCGCCCGCTCTTAAATTCCCCCATTTCCTTTTATTTTCCTTCAACTGTCTTTCCCAAAAAAAAACATGTTCATTATTTCCTACAAAATGAAAATTTCCCCTTTAAATCCCCATCTTTTAGGTTTCTAGCCTTAGATTGTTGAAAACAATGACGATTGTTTATAATCAATTGTTTCTAATTTTTTCCTTGTCGCTAACTTATATTTTCCTTTTCCTTTTCCGGGTTGTTTTGATCAAAACCGGGTTGATTTACTTTGTCAAGAAAAAATGGCGTTCCATTGAAGATTGCTTCCATGTCTACCAGTTCTTCAGAGTCCCAGAATTCAATGAAAGCATGCAGAGAAACCAACTTTATCACAAAGTTCTGGTTTATCTGAATTCCCTCGCTTCCATCGAAGATTCCGATTTCACCAACCTCTTCTCCGGGAAAAAACCGAATGAAATCGTCCTCCGTCTCAACCCAAGCCAAATAATCGAGGACGGTTTTTTGGGTGCCAAGATTTTCTGGATTAATGAAGAGAAAAATTTGGTGTTAAAGATTCGGAAAGCCGATAAACGAAGAGTTCTCCGGCCTTATCTCCAACACATCCACACGGTTTCGGATGAAATCAGTGAGAAGAACCGGGAATTGAAGCTTTACGTGAACGTCGTCGACAATCACGATGATCGAAAGGGACGGTGGAGATCCGTCCCTTTCACGCATCCTTCATCGTTTGAAACGCTAGCCATGGAATCGGACCTTAAAAACAAAGTCAAATCCGATCTCTCCACTTTCGTGAAGGCCAAACAGTATTATCATCGGCTGGGTCGGGTATGGAAACGGAGCTACCTCCTTTACGGTCCTTCAGGTACTGGGAAATCAAGCTTTATTGCTGCCATGGCTAATTTCTTGAGTTACGATGTTTACGACATTGATTTGTCCAAAGTTTCTGATGATTCCGAACTTAAATCTCTCTTGTTACAAAGCACAACAAAATCGCTTATCGTTATCGAGGATCTCGACCGGTATTTGACGGAGAAATCGACGGCCGTGAGTTTATCGGGGATTTTAAGTTTAATGGATGGGATTTTAACCTCCAGCTGCGGCGAAGAAAGAGTCATGGTCTTCACGATGAACGGCAAAGACCACGTTGACCCGGCGATTCTTAGACCGGGAAGGATTGATGTTCATTTACATTTTCCATTATGCAATTTCTCTTCTTTTAAAACGCTGGCCAATAGTTATCTAGGGCTCAAGGATCACAAGCTGTTCCCGCATGTAGAGGAGATATTCCAAAACGGGGCGAGTTTAAGCCCGGCTGAGATTAGCGAGTTAATGATCGCCAACCGGAATTCACCGACCCGGGCTCTGAAAACCGTCATCAACGCCTTGCAAACGGACGGTGACGGGAGGGGGGCTTCGAATATCGGACGACGGTCAGTAGAGGTAAACGGGGAACAGAGTGGCGCATTTTATAAAGAAGGTATAAATGTGGTGAAGGAGTTTAAGAAATTGTACGGTTTGTTGAGGGTGAAAAGCTGCAGACAATCTCAGTCGTTCGATCTTATTAGTCGCCAAAACGAGGGGTCACGATGAACACTGGTCACTGTTTATTAGAAGCTTAGCTCTGTAGTTTCATTGAATTTCAGCTAGAATTTTTGTTACTTGAATTGCAGAATTAGTATCTAATTCTGTTAAACAGAAAAAAGAGTATATTTTATCATACCATTTTGTTTTTTTTTTCAAGATTTCCCAAAGGTAGTAGTAAGTGCTAATGAAAGTCATCTTCTTTGGAATTTTGGTACGACGGTGTGTACATATTGTAATTTGGATGAAATAGAATCAAATATTAAAAGAAATTGAATTATGAAATTTTAAAAAAGATATAATCATCTATTTCGGGAGCTGATATATTGTTTTTTCAAGCTTTTTCCCTTCATTTTGGGTAACTGTATCTTATTTTTGTTCGTACATTCAACAATGAGTTATGAGATTGAGCTTAGAGGGCATTGGCGAAAAAAGATAGGGTGGTGTTGGATCAGAAAAGCGAAAACCAGTACAGCCATGTCCAGGTTGACCAGAGGCCGGAGACCACTTCATCACGGTCTATATTTGCTGTGGGGTTCCCCTGTTTTCTCTGTTTTGAAAACCGGATCAGACCGGATCGGTCGGTTTAACCGGTTTAACCGAGAATCGTTACTTAGTCCGGTTCAATCTAAACCAGTTGAACCGCTATTAGTGAACCGGCCAGAACCGTTGAACCGTTCGAACCGGACCGGCTGAAAACCAGGAAAAACCGTGATTTTTGTTTTTTTTAAAAAAAAAATTAAACCAAACAACGTCGTTTGTTAAACGAGCCAAGTCGAACTTAAGTATTGCTGAGCTCGACTCGAACTTGAAAACTTTAAAAGTAAGCTCAACTCAACTCAAACTCACAAGCTAAAAATTATCAAGTTCAACTCAAACTCGAAATATAATATTGAAACTTGAACTCAAAAAAAAATTAGAAGCTCGATTGAAGCCTAAAATTCGAGCTTGATTGAAGTGAAAAAATAGTTATATAATTATAGTTATATAATTTTGTTATGATTTTTAACCCCAAATTTATTTTTTAATTATAGTTATATAATTATATTTATTATTTAATATGTTTTACCTTAAATATTATGTTGTAGTTAATTTGAATCATTTTGTTTCACTTGATTTTATGGTTTTTAACTTATATATGTTATGACTTGCTTTGAATATGACTTGTGATATAAAAAATTATTTTTTATTAAATATTTTTGGTATTTTTATTTAATTTTTTAAATAATTATTACGTCATCCGATTCTTCCGACCGGTCAGACCAATTCTTCCGACCGGTCAGACCAATTCTTCCGACCGGTCAGACTAATTCAACCGATTGAACCAATAAACCGATAACTTGAACAGTTCACTAATCGATCCGGTTCTGAAAACCATGCCTGTTTTAGCTCTATTTGGCTGGCTACCAATTTTCTTCGCTCTTCATTGACCGTGATGTGATTGAACCTCCAATTCTCTTGGCCCGGCTTTGTCTCTACTTGTTGAAGTTTTTACTCACTCGAATCACCCAAAAAAATATTAATAATTTTTAGGGAAAAACATGAGTTTAGTATCTAAATTATTAGTTTTAGTCTAATTTAGTATTTAATGTTTTTAAAATCATATTTAAAGTTTATTTTTTTTCATTTTAGTATCTCGTTCAAAATTAAACATTAAGTTTTGAGAAAAATTAAAAGTTTAGGTACTAAAATAGATAGTTTAAGTACTAAACTTTAAGTATAATTTAAAAAAATAAAAATTTAAATATTAAAACGAATCAAAACTAATAATTTATATATTAAATATATAATTTACCTTAACTTTTATTTAAAATCTTGACAATGTAAATTAGAAAACCCACAACGAATTAATTGTAAATGAAAAATATTTGGTCCATTCAAAATGTCAAACCTTCCTTATTCCAACATGTCGAATCAAACTAGCAAAATATACACCATTTTCTTAGCAATAATTTTGGGTAGAATGAATACCGACACTAATTACATTTAAGGATGGGCATGGGTCGGATTGGGTTCAAAAATATATATCATTCACCTGATTTGAACTTGACCCGACTTTTTAAGATAACATTCAAATCCGATCTGATCCGACCCGAAATAATAAAAAATATTATTTTTAAAAAAATAAAAACAGTGATTTAATTGAAAAATAATAATATATAGAGGGGTATTATTGTAATTATTCATAAATATATAAAGTAAAATTATATTTTTCCGGGTCGGATCGAATCAAATATTTTTTAACCTAAACCCGAATCCGACCCAACCCGAACGTCACTTTAAAAAAATCCAACACAACCCGACGACTCGAACCCGAATTTTAAAAAAAAACCCGCCACTATATGTACCTCGCCGCTGCTGCCTATGCCTTGCATCATTAGTTTGCCTCAATAATGATTATGCCCACGTTCACTACTAATTGCACAATCACAAACTGTATGCTACAGCTCAACTAGGCAGATTACTTTTATATACTACAAAATAATCTCACCGCATTTCATATGTTTTTAATAACGATTAGCATTTTAAAGATATTAAAATATTATAAAAATTAAAGTAAAAGTTATAAAACTCAAAACTATATTAAAATGTTATAATGAATATGATTATTTTTTGTGCTAGTGACAAAAAGACTGTAGGGTTTCTCCTTTTTTCAGTATTTGCGCTAGGGTTTCGTTTGCATGAACAATCTCTCGGGAGCGGTCGAAAAGGCTGATGGAACCACTCCGGCGGATGATATGGAGCCGACAGATGCGTTCATGGTGATAGATGGGGTTGGGGGAGGTGACCAACCTGGTGCAGTTGAGGTTCGCTCGGTTTTTCAGTGCCCATGGAGAATAGCGGTGTTGCTGGTAATTCGATTATGCAACAAGATAATGTGGTTACGACTACCCCTTCTTTGATTTCAACGAGTAAACCTTCTTATGCTGCAATGGCTTTGGAAACTGGAAGAGAAGGTTCGTCAGCAAAAAGCTTCTTTGAAGGTAACTATGTAGCTATTCGAGATGGAGATGTGGTGGTAGATAGGAGCGGAGCGTATCCGATTATTAAATTTTTTAATAGAGTACATGATGCCATCGATGCGAATATGAGGCTTTCGGTCATTGTAAGGTTGTTAGGCAAGTCAATCGTATTTCGTACTCTGCAGAATAAAATATATGCGTTATGAATAGGGTCGGTCCAATGAGTTTTAATGTCCTGAGCGAGATAAAAATTTTATGCCCTATAGAGAGTAAAGCCAACAAACCATGCTTCTGCATAACCAAGAGGAACTTAATGATCACTTTTGAGGAAGGCCTAATCATGACCTGTCGTTTGCCCCTCTTCTCTGCATTGTACATGCTCCCCTCAAATTCAAAATGTTGCTGCTGATTTTTTATAATGAATGTAACAATTAAGAATTTACAGTTACATATACAATAATACAATAAGCAAGTGTTGGACTAGATGTCAAAAATAATACCAGTTATATGATAAAAACACAAATAAACGTGACATTGGTTATTATTTCTCAAATTCAAAGATTTATTTGAGAATTTTAATTTGAATTTTTTCTACCTATTAGATATATAATCATATTGAGATTCAACTAATTTTTGTTCCTAAACACAGTATAACAGTTCAAAAGTCGGGTTGATTTCTAAGCCGCTTTATGCTAGAATAAGGTCAATTCATAACAATATAACTGATTGTTTCCTAAACTTGCCTATAATCTCAAAGCTCTTTCAATTATTTTTCGGATGAGAAAATAAAAAACAAGCAAAATGTAACCTATAAAAATGATAACAAAAATCGAACATTAGAAAATATGAACCATAATATTCAAACAATAGTTCTATCTGGGCGCACGTTAGCAGGTCTGATGGGCTCCCCGATTTGCTTCTCTGGTGCTGATCGTTGCTTCTTGTTCACTGTTTTGGGTATTCTTCACTGCAAATTTGTTTCTTCTCTTATGGAATCGAGGACTTCTGAGCTCGATTGGAGGAAGCTTTTTCGCGGATCGCAGGAACAAGCCCTAGATTTCTTTCCTCCTGTGGTCTTGGAGGGGATTTCTACTGTCAGGCCTCCGCCTACTGTTATTGAGGAAGGGATTGCTGAGTGAAGTCATGCGGTGGTGGGTCAGTTTATTGGAACTGCCCCAAACTTTGGATCCATGCAGAGATTCGTCGAAATTTTATGGGGGAAGCTTTCGTCGGTCAAGGTCAGTTTGGTTGGATCTAACCTCTTTATGTTTTCATTTACGAATGCTGAGATGAGGGATTGGGTCTTGGAGAATGGCCCTTGGCACATTCAAAATAAACCCCTAATTTTGAGAAAATGGGAACTGAATTTGAAGCTATTAGATTTCGATCTTAGACATGTACCAGTTTGGATACAATTGTACAATGTTCCCCTTGAGCTTTTCTCTAGAAGTGGTCTTAGCTACATTGCTAGTGCTGTTGGGTTGCCTCTTTTTATGGATTCTGTCACTGCCTCGAAGGAGAGGCTTGAATATGCAAAAGTTTGTATTGAGGTTGAGGCAGGATCAGTTATCCCTGATGTAGTTAATGTAGCTCTACAGGATGAAACCTTAGTGAAGGTTCGAGTTCATGCCCCCTGGTTGTCTAAATTCTGTTCACAGTGTAAAATCTTTGGGCACCAAGCCAATATGTGTGTGAGGGGGTCAAAGCTCGTATGAAAAATAAGAAGGTTCAGGTGTGGAGGAGGAAAGAGAACTCTAGTGTTCTTGATCTTTCTGATAAAGTTAAATTAGACATTCCTGTCAATGCAACAGTTCTTCCTTCTGCTGGCATTGAAACTCATAAGTTAATCCCTGCTGAGGAAGGACCTATGTCTTTGCCCTCTGTCTTAGAGGTTGGTAGTGCAGAGGTGATGACTGTGCAGGCCTTGCAAGAAAACGACGATGATGCAATACAGTCTCATGTTTCTAATGAGTGTGCCTCTGCTGGAAACTGTGGAAAGATCTTCCAGCAGTCAAAGGCCATTGGTTGTGATGAACTGGTAACTGCTGTAGCAGGTAAGGTTATATCCAAAGATAACTTTGGTTGTGGTGGGGAGTTCCCTTCACTACAGGATTCTTTGCTGCAGAAGAAGAAATCACGGGGGAAGAGGAAAGAAAACACTGGCTCTTCTAGT